TACGGTAGTGTTTAAATACATATTTAATTGGAAAATAAATCCAGCACAGCAACAATTGATTTGTCGCGAAGAATAGCTGTAACCGAGATGTATGAGGACAGATTGTTAGTAAAATGTAAGCGGTAAAATTACGATGAGAAATCCAGGTCGCATGGGAATATAATACGTTCAGTTAACCACCTTATCGGCGCCACCTGCCCAGGCACTTGGTACCCATTGTTTGTCTACCCTCATATGATTAACTTTGCAATGCTCACTGTTTTCATTGCAAATCACACCATGTGTATGGAGATTTAATCGTTCATTGTTTTCTCAAGCCATGTCTAAGTGGTGCCATTCCAAACCCCGCTGTGAAGATACCATAGTGCCCAGGTGTCCCACGACATCCTCATTTGAGATATTAGATAATTATAGATACTGTGCAAGTTATTTTTGTTGTTGTTGTTGTTGTTGTTTGTTTGTTTGTAAATTTGATACAACACTTTGCACACTCCTTCGAAAGCCGATGGTAGAACAGCGAGCATCGGAATGTACTACATGTGTTAGTGATGTGATAGCGTCCAATAAGCCATCAAAGAATGTATGATATTATAGCCTACTAACGCTTATAGCAGACACCATTTACAATACACCGTAATCATAAGTTATCTGTGTTTTACGATACATTTATTGGCATCATTCTACCTGGTAACCAGACTGATGGCATTTACTTCCGTATTTTCATATCTGTCTCAATCTAATGTTGATACCCACACTTCTGAATAAATGTATGCCTAACGTTTAGGTCCACATCCAAACGCTATCTAATCATCAACAGTCCTAGTGGTTACTTATAATTCTACGTGCGATTTACAAAAAAACTAGAGGAATATGCCTGTTATTCGTTCATTCAATTCAAACATTTATAAACACCACACTTCAGCCTGACAGACTGATGGTATTTTCACTCGCGTAAATCCATTATCTGATTGATGGCTCGATGTCTAAATGGGACTCGCTTAAGTTACAAATCCCGCTAACATCTGTTCGTGTCTCGTTACGTTCCCACTTGACAGATGGATCACATTACATTTCCTCTCGTGTGACATTGTGTAGTATTTCGGGGTGCAATCTGATGTCAATGTAGCCAGGTCAAGTGTCTCGGTACTGCACACTAAGATTGCGACGAGTCATCAAATTCGATTCACGGACAGCGGCAACACAATCTGACATCCGAATCGAAATGCTTGGACACAGGTCACACTCTGAGCAATGATGAAATGGTCCATATGTGCTAGCGCAGCGAATGGATGATCAAGGGGACCATAAATAGTCACACACGACTGACTGCATGTGAATTCTCGCTTACCTCTCGGAGAAGAGAAAAGCGGACCGGCTGTGGCTTAACTTCAGACCCGAATAGTTTGCAGATAATATAAAAGACGTCTTTTACAGCACGCATCAACGATAAGTGATCACTGTTCCATGGTAGTTTTACTCCCTTTGTAACGTTATCAATGTCATTAACTTCATATTGCTCATCTTGTTAATAAATTCTCCATGGTGGCCTCTGTTCTGCTTGCACCACGATTGGACAAACACAGCTCTAGTGACACTGCATTTCATACATCTTTACTTTTATTCGCACATGTTATTGCATTTTCACGCATTACATGCATTATATATCATTCTGTGTCATCTCATCTCATCTCTTTCTTTGTAGCCCTTGAGATCAGTTACTAGATTTCTTGGTAACACTACACACACAATTCTCGTGCTGCTACTGAGTATGCGAAGTCCAATGCAACATAATAGCACCCCGCGTCGACGTAGTTATGCGAGCAATATCGGTGTCGGTGTCGGTGTCACCTCATCTCGCACACACTGTAGGCTGTCTAAGCGACATTTAACCGGCATTGATCATTTGCTTGTTCCCCGGTTCCATAACACTCCACGTTCCTCTGTCCAAGTCCCCTTTTCGATTGAACCAATTTTTTCCTCTCAACCCCCGAACGAGGCAAATCCAACCATATCTCCGCCATTGAGATCAAGAGCCACACGTGGCCGCAGACCAGCACGTCAAACACTCAAGGTTGGATGCTGGAATGGGCGCACACTGCACGCGGGGGACACTAATCATCGACCTATGCGACTAACCGCTTTAGTCGCCATGGAACTTGCGCGGTATGACATTGATATCGCAGCGCTGAGTGAGACTCGACTGGCTGATCAAGGTAAATTGCGAGAGGATGGTGCTGGGTACACGTTCTACTGGATTGGAAATCCCGACGCAGCACCACGTGAACAGGGCGTCGGATTTGCAATCACTGACCGCCTAAATAGCCGTTTGACGGGGGAGCCGATTGGTATCAGCCCACGGTTGATGTCGCTCCGTATATGCCAGAGACGTGGTAAGTTCGCAACATTTATTAGCACATGTAGTCCCACCATGTGTTATACAGAAGACAGGAAAGATCAGTACTACTCGCAATTGGCCACTGTTATAAAGTCTGTCCCAATGCATGATCGACTATTTCTGCTTGGTGACTTCAATGCACGTGTAGGGTGTGATGCCACAGTGTGGGCTGAGGTGATCGGGCCGTACGGGATTGGGATAGTCAATGGGAACGGAGAGCGCTTGCTTTCATTGTGTGCTACACATGGCTTGACGATCACGAACACCCAGTTTGCTCTGTGTGCTAGGGACATTGCTACATGGACCCACCCACGGAGTGGTCATGCTCACTTGCTGGACTACGTCATCGTACGTCAACGGGACATGCGTGAAGTACGCATAACGCGGGTAATGCGTGGAGCTGAATGTGGGACTGATCACAAGCTGGTGCGCACAAAGTTCTACATAAATGTCCACAAATCGTCGTACTTTCCAGCGAATAGCAATCGGAGGAAATACAACGTACGCGCCCTTATGAGTGCAGAAAAGAGACAAGCACTGGAGGATGCCATAACAACTCGCCTTGGCGAAGACGACTCCTCGGCTTCTGTCAGCGTCCTATGGGACCACTTGAAGAAACAGGTGACCATTGCTACGGAGGAGACGATTGGGTGTACAAATTGTAAACGGCCCGACTGGTTCGACGAAAACAGTTTGACGATTGGGCCATTAGTACGAGCAAAAAACGCAGCATTCATCGCATCCGAGGTTGACCCTAACAACACCATGAAGAGTAATGCTTTCCGCCACATTCGAAGACAGCTAGCTGGAGAGCTGCGTCAGGTGAAAAATACGTGGTGGACAATGCAAGCTGCGCAGATGGAGTCCTACGCTGAACACCGTCAACAAAAAGAATTCTACGACTCCTTGAAGGCAGTGTACGGGCCCACTGTGCAGCAAATGAAGACCCTGAAAGACTCTGAGACTGGCGCCGTGTATACACAATCTGATGACATCTTGCAAATGTGGCACAGACACTTTGATACGCTCCTGAACAATCGATCAGAGGTAGACTGGGACACACTACACGGGCTGCAACACCATAGCGTACTATCGCAACTGGAGGAGACACCGGGAATGTACGAAACACAGAGAGCGCTTGCTCAACTACGGAATGGGAAATGCGCTGGTGTTGATGGCATACCACCGGAAATATTGAAGAACGGAGGACCAGTTATGATACGTGCCCTGCATCGTTTGGTGGAAGCCGTCTGGATGGAAGAGCAAGTGCCCGCAGAGTTGAAGGATGCTCTTGTGATTCCACTGTACAAGGGAAAGGGTAGTAAACAACACACCGACAATTATCGTGGCATCAACTTACTTAGTTGCGTTGGCAAGATTTTTGCCCGTATCCTACTCAATCGCCTTGTCACACATATACTAGAACCGAATGTACCTGAGGAGCAATGTGGATTCCGCTCGGGCCGTAGCACCATCGACATGGTTTTTGCAGCACGTCAACTACAGGAAAAATGTCGTGAATGCAATCAACCGTTGTATTCATTGTTCATCGACTTCACCAAAGCGTTCGATACGGTGAACCGTGAGGCGTTGTGGTTGATTCTCTCCAAGTTTGGATGCCCTGCAAAGTTTATTCGTCTCATTGAATGCCTGCATACTGGCATGCGAGCAAGGGTGCAGCTAAGTGGACAGACTACAGATGACTTTGCCGTTATCTCCGGTGTGAAGCAAGGATGCGTCTTAGCCCCCACACTGTTCAATATCTACCTGACGGCTGTGATGTCGTGCGCATTCAACACATGCGAATACGGTGTGCATCTAGAGCACCGCATGGATGGGGGTTTGCTTAACATCCGCCGCTTTGGATCAAGAAGTTTAGTGCGTGAGACAACCATTCGTATGCTACTGTTTGCAGACGACTGCGCGTTATTTGCACATACTGAGGAAGAACTGCAATGCATGACGACAATCTTAGCTTCCACAGCGACTAAGTTTGGACTCAGCATAAACACAGGCAAGACTGTATGTCTATTTCAGCCGGCACCGGGAGTGCAGCCCGTGTGCGGACCAGAAATACGGATTGTAGATGTAGTACTACAGAACACGTCCGCCTTCTGCTACCTTGGGAGTACATTGTCTAGCGACCTACGAATCACCAACGAACTGCGCGCTCGTGTGGCGAAGGCAAGTGCGGCTTTTGGGAAACTGGAACATCGCGTGTGGAAGAACCATCATCTCACTGTTAGAACCAAGGTGATGGTGTACAAATCAATGGTTCTCTCAGTCCTTATCTATGGATCGGAAACTTGGACACTGTACAGAAAGGATATCCGGTTTTTGGAACGATTCCATCAACAGTGCCTTCGCCGGATTCTGCGCATACAATGGTGGGACAATGTGCCAGACACTGATGTGATCCGCCGGAGCGAAGTGTACACCATAGACTACATGCTACTGCTGCGACATCTCCGGTGGCTTGGACATGTGCGCCGTATGGATGCAACGAGAATCCCGAAGCAATTGCTGTACGGACAACTGATCGCAGGTGGCCGGAATGCTGGCAAACCCAAGTTGCGTTACCAAGATAATATCAAGGTTAGTTTGTCCAGATTAGGTATTGACCTAAATATTTGGGAGGAGTTGGCAACAAATCGCCGCATCTGGCGTGATCTCATCACCTGTACCGTTGCCCAATCGCAAGAAAGGCAGATGGTGCATCGAGAAATTAAACGTGCAGCACGCAAACATCATCTGCCGTCGGACTTCAATTCTTCGGCTACTCCAACATGGAGCTGTAGTGCATGTGGCCGTGTGTGTTTTAGCCCAGCTGGTCTGGCCAGTCATCAACGAGGCCACGATGGGGTTATGCCGAACAGGTGGATTGTTAGATCGAGCATCACGGACTGACATGTGACACTTGGTGGTACGCAACTGAGAAAGGACGGTACATGTTAAACCGGCCAAACGGGATGAAGCGAGGTGAGTCAGAATGGAATCACACGGGGAGGATTTTTGCACTGATAATGTACTAATTCACCAACTGTTGCAGTGCAATGACAACCACGCATAGTTTCTGCAAAGACACAGGCGCGTACTATATTTACCATACTGGTAATCCGAACACAGATGCCTCTATACGAATGCCCCTATGCTGAGGTTTGATGTTGCATACACCATACTTCTTTATCGCAGTTGGGCTACACTGACTTACTTACTTACTTACTTATAACATGTTACCTTATTTTACCGTACCTTACCATTACCATAGCCTAGGAACCCTTTACCTAATACAGTATGGAAAAGCAATGCTTCCTCGATTTGGTGGCAAATTGGCAATGCGATAGACATGTTCAAGTTGGATCATGCATTCAAATATCAATCGCTCTGGAACATCCGTGGAAAGTGAACAGTCCCGGTAAGTAATTGACTAGCGATTAACATGCTGCTGTTGATGTGTTATGCTAGGTTTCACATTAACTCTGTTAGAATGATTAGAGCAATAATTCCCGTTCTTCATCTGACAACCTTATCTTAGCTGAGCTTATGAAAATAAGTTGACTTCAGCGCACCATTTCCCTACAAACCTTCATAGTTGCCTACTCACACGGTCTATCATCCTTGTGTGTCATCCTTATTCCATTGCTAATGTCAGTATAGCTTGGGTGCAATTGCTATTTGGAATGATGAAGTAGGGACTTGGTGCAACGCAGTAGCATTATTGCATCTGTCTAAGAGGCACCTACTAGAAGTTGTCTTAGACGGGGTCAATCTTCTGGGTAGACTAAGAAAAAGGTAATGTCAACGGAAATGGTACGTAAGTGTCTTAGTAAATTACATCGGAAAGGAATCAGCGCATAGGGAACATTTGTTCACTTTACGAGCACCGAATAGTTGCACCCCAGGCGTACTAAAGTAGATCGTAACCAAGTAGTTTATAGCCACAACAGGATACACAACGGTATGTATAAACGGATGAGTACTTGGATGACAACCATGCTACATCTCGGATATTTGCAACACCGGGCGAACATTGTTTGGAAAACCGCAAGTTTGACAGTGGCCAGTGGGACTTAGTTGTTG